ACCCACCACACCAGTCTGTACAACCACACCAGTCTGCACAACCACACCAGTCTGCACAACCGCACAATTCCCACAGAGATGTTGTACACAAACACCAAGCCAGGCTCAGAGTACACCAAAGGGATTGAAGTTGTTGCTCTTCTTGGTGGTCCATTCATCCCCGAGGAAGACGACAGTCGCCATGTCAATGTCATCATCACTACTATTGCTGTGACCCTCCTTGTGTTGGCATCAGAGGTTGTCATCTACTATGTCTTGTTGTACTGCTGTCGTGGCCCAGGTCTGGTCTGTCACAACGTTCCTGCTGAAAAAGACGGAAACGTCGCCGCATTGCGAGCATCGGACGGAGACTCAGTCACAAACAGTCAACCAACCCCTGCTCAGGACCAGACAACAGAGGACAACGATAACATTGAGCCGTACGCTGTGTCATACGTTGATGTGTCAGGGAAGGGGAGAAATGGGATGCTTGCGCCGTACGCAACTACTTCCTTTGCTAATATCCGGCCAATAGCAGATAACGATGACATTGAGCCGTACGCTGTGTCATACGTTGATGTGTCAGGGAAGGGGAGAAATGGGAAGCTTGCGCCGTATGCAACTACTTCCTTTGCTAATATCCGGCCAATAGAAGATAACGATGACATCCAGCCATATGCTGTGTCATACATGGATGTGTCGGGGAAAGGGAAAAACGGCAAGCTTGCGCCATACGCAACGACCTTCATCAATGAAGACCCAGGGCCATATGCAGTGACCTACGATGAAGACTCAGGGCCACAGCTTCAGCCATACGCAGTGACCAACGATGAAGACCCAGGGCCTCAGTTTCAGCCATATGCAGTGACCCACGACGAAGACGCAGAGCCACAGCTTCAGCCATATGCAGTGACCCACGATGAAGACCCAGGGCCACAGCTTCAGCCATACTCAATGACCCACAATGAAGACCCAGGGCCACAGCTTCAGCCATATGCAGTGACCCACGATGAAGACCCAGGGCCACAGCTTCAGCCATACTCCGTGACCCACGATGAAGACCCAGGGCCACAGCTTTCGGCCATACTCCGTGACCCATGATGAAGACCCAGGGCCACAGCTTCAGCCAACCTACATGTAACACTGAACTTTGCCAAGTCCCTACTGTACTGACACTTCCTACCACCCATCAGCAGTTGCCAGACCCTTTCTTCGAAACAAACTGAACTTACAAAACTAAACACTACAGAAATAGTGCTATCCCTCATTCTGACATGGTCAATATTCAATGTATAATTGATTATACACAATTCATGCTATGTCTGCGATTGATGTATCACTTTCTAACAATGATAATAAACCATTAATGACACATATCCCATACGACTAACATTCCTGTGGATACAATAGGCTTGCCCCTGAGGCATTGCCAAAAAAGTAGCATCCAAAGATCAGGTTACAGACGTACAATTTTTGATGTTTTTAATTGACATGCGATTGATGTATCACTTTCTAACAATGATAATAAACCATTAATGACACATATCCCATACGACTAACATTCCTGTGGATACAATAGGCTTGCCCCTGAGGCATTGCCAAAAAAGTAGCATCCAAAGATCAGGTTACAGACGTACAATTTTTGATGTTTTTAATTGACCTTTCAAAATCTATAGCCAAACAAGAAATGTATATTAATGTAGTCCTAATAAAAGGTGTAGACATAATATCTGGTAAATTAAATATACAATATAACAAGGTCTGAATCTGTTTTGGAGCGAAGGAGAAATCAGTAACCACGATGTTGTGATACAAGATGTTGCTCTACTTCTTACTCGTGGTTTTCAATCATCTATTTATTGTGACTGCAGCAGAGTTACGGTGCCCAGACAGCTGTCATTCCGTCCAGGTTAGAGCGAGAATAAAGCGAGTCACCTGTCACTGTCCAGATAAAAACTGGGCGGGGTCCTCTTGCAGCTGGATTGGATATGGAGGGATGTACCGCTTCCCCGTATGTCTGGACGCCCATACCAACTAACTTGGACAAAGCCACGTCTTCGATCTTCATCAGACATCTCCGTTCCCCTACCATTTTGGATCAGTCCTTCCCCAACAGCCTAGAAGTGAAGGTTCTTCAAATCCAAAAGTCCAACGTTTCCACGGTCCAGCCAGGAGCTTTCCGAGGTCTCCCATTGGTTCGAGACCTTTACCTTAATGACAACCGCATCTCCAGTCTTGGTACGTTGACAAAAATGTACTTTTTGGGCTCCTGATATATATATATATATTGTAGGTCACTAGTATATATATATATATATATATATATATATATATATATATATATATATATATATATATAGTGACCTACAATTCGGCATGAAAGAAGGGTGGAAATGTGCACAAGGATTTTTTTTCATGATTAGAAATTGTTTTCTTTTCTTTAGTATTGGGGTTATTTTCTCCGCAAAAGGTTCCGGATCAGAGTTTAAATCTGACCAGAGTCTAAGTAGTAAATCGCCTGAAATGTGACTTTGTATCGTATGTTTTGGCCGCGATATCCCTGAAATCGTAATATCTGTGTACATACTGTATCTTTGTATTTTCAGAAAAGCCCGTAAGTTGTAGCCTTTATAGGTGGCGAAATGTTGGTGGTCCAGCGAAGACTTCCTGGTATTAGTCCGCGCGGATGGTTATGTGGCCTTTTTGCCTGAACGCCGGGATAGTACGTTCTATATGCGTTGTGGGTGTGTTCGGGACATCGAAGATAGCGGTAAACGTATCGCATCGATCTTAATTAAATTCAAATTTTGGAAACATTGGGTTCCGAGCTTCTTCGAGTACTAAGCCGTTACCCTGGGAAAATTCGTTTTTTCCATGCAGCCATGGTTAAAAATGATGAAAAAAATGACCCGGCCCGTACTTAAAAATGTTCTTTGATGTGCCTTATTTACCCCTAAAAAAATTGGGCGCACTAAATATCAAGGAAGTGTATTGATAAGCGGCACGGCACCCCTTTCCACCAAAAGAGTGAAAAATTCCGACCCGCGTTTAGTACAGAAATGACAGCCTGTCGGGCTGAGGGTGTCAAATTGCTCCGAACACGGAAGAAAACTCCGGTCCGAGACCAAAAATACATCTTGGGCTGCTGCTCCGATATCATAGAAAAACAATGTCAGTCATATGAATCCACAACAACATCAATCCTATTTCATACGCATAACAACCTACATACAATGAATAAAATGACTAATTTGTTTATCCTCAGAACCTGATACCTTCCTTGGACTTGAAAAGTTAAGCAACTTGGACCTTGGAATGAACGCCATTTCCATCGTATCTCAGAATGCATTCCGTGGCCTACCTCTCCTGACCATGCTGATGTTGAACAAGAACCGCCTGCGTTCCGTGCCCGTCGACGCACTCCTGCCGCTTACAGCACTGAAGGTTGCATACCTCGGAATGAACAAAATAACCACGATCGACAGCCTAGTCCTGCGTCTGAGACACAACCACGAGGGCTTACGACGTGTTATTCTAGCAAAAAACCAGCTGAAATGTGACGAGAATCTCGCCTGGTTCGTCTGTAATCTACCAGACCTGGACTTTATTTCTTTTCCAGACTTACTGAAGTGTGCGTCACCTGCCAACTTGAGTGGAATGTCGCTAGCCACCCTGAGGAAGGACATTAGTCAGACCAACAGGTCACAACAGGGGATCAGTCTGGGGAGATGTGATGAAACGTCCACCACAACTGGTCCGCATACCCACCACACCAGTGTATATAACCACACCAGTCTGCACAACCACACTACTCTGTGCAACCATACCAGTCTGTACAACCACACCAGTCTGTACAGCCACACCAGTCTGTACAACCACACCACTCCCACAGAGATGCCATACACAAACACCAGGCCAGGCTTGGAGTACACCACAGGGATTGAAGTTGTTGCTCTTCTTGGTGGTCCATTCATACCCGAGGAAGATGACAGTCGCCATGTCAATGTCATCATCACTACTATTGCTATGACCCTCCTTGTGTTGGCATCAGAGGTTGTCGTCTACTATGTCTTGTTGTACTGCTGTGGTGGCCCAGGTCTGGTCTGGCACGACGTTCCTGCTGAAACAGACGGAAACGTGGCCGCATTGCCAGCATCGGACGGAGACTTAGTCACAAACAGTCAACCAATCCCTGCTCAGGACCAGACAACAGAGGACAACGATAACATTGAGCCATACGCTGTGTCATACGTTGATGTGTCAGGGAAGGGGAGAAATGGCAAGCTTGCGCCGTACGCAACTACTTCCTTTGGTAACATCCAGCCAATAGAAGACAACGATGACATTGAGCCGTACGCTGTGTCATACGTTGATGTGTCAGGGAAGGGGAGAAATGGGAAGCTTGCGCCATACGCAACTACTTCCTTTGCTAATATCCGGCCAATAGAAGATAACGATGACATCCCACCATATGCTGTGTCATACATGGATGTGTCGGGGAAAGGGAAAAACGGCAAGCTTGCGCCATACGCAACGACATTCATCAATGAAGACCCAGGGCCACAGCTTCAGCCATATGCAGTGACCCACTATGAAGACCCAGGGCCACAGCTTCAGCCATATTCAGTGACCCATGATGAAGACCCTGGGCCACAGCTTCAGCCATACTCTGTGACCCACGATAAAGACCCAGGGCCACAGCTTCAGCCATATGCAGTGACCCACGATGAAGACCCAGGGCCACAGCTTCAGCCATATGCAGTGACCCACAATGAAGACCCAGGGCCACAGCTTCAGCCATATGCAGTGACCCACAATTAAGACCCAGGGCCACAGCTTCAGCCATATTCAGTATAAAGACTCAGGGCCATATCTTTCCTATAGCCATATGTACATGTACATGTATGTAGTGATTGACCCACAATGAGTTTGTTCTTTGTCTTATGAAACTTATTGTGTGATGTGTCACATATGTGGTTGCTCTGTTGAATAGTGAATCCAACTCCATTTTAAAGACCTACCTTCTTACAAGGAAACAGCCTACAGACTCGTTGTTCTCATCAATGGCTCTGTGAAGCAGAGTCTGCTCACAACCGTTGGGCCCTGGTCCCCAGAAGGTCGCATCACAGCCATGTCTGACCTACAGACACAAACACACACCAGTACGTGTAACTTGTTAGAGTTTACCCTGGAAGCCAAACTCGTTTTCCGGGCCACAAGAGCCCTTCACCCGTTGGTGTAAATTACCGCTCCCGGGGAGTCTAGCCCAGGAGGAGTTTGTCTGGCCCTACAAACGAATAGGGCCGGACAAACCCCTCGGGCTCAACTCCCCCGTAGCGGTAATTTAGATAGGCGGGCGAAGGGCTCTTGGCTGCCGAAGGAAAACGGCTAACGGCCCGATACTAGTTTGGCATCCAAGGTAATGTTGATTTGATTATATGGATGACATCCGTGCGCGCATGAATTTTCGGCCGTTTCCACAAAAAAAAAGTTTTCAAGCATACCGTAAATCGTACAAAACAGTTGCAAAATGAGCAAAATATATACTGTAAGTTGCAAAAAGAATATTTAAAAACGATACCAATGTTGTGGAATGCAAAAATCAAACCAAAAAAGACGAAAATGTAAAGAAATGAATTTGAAGAATTTATAGATTATTCGCCAAACCATACTCTGTCATTTGTTTAACCTTCATGACCACGTAGATTTCATAATGAAAGCACCTTTTTTTGCAAAACTTTTTTTTATTCGCACCAGACAAAAAATGGATAAAACAGAAAGAAATGTAAAAAAAAAATACAAGTGAACAAAACTAAAATGGGACAAATCATTCTTTTCCAAAAATGAGACCATTCCTGATTTTTCAATTCTTGAATCCAGCAAGAAATTAAACTATAATCAAACTACAAGAAAAAAACATGTCTTTTTTCAACCATACACACTTGTCAACAGTATCTGTGTGTATAAAAATTTAACACTGAAGCAGTATAGCACAGAAGCTTGAAGTGATGGCAGCAAACCTATGAGGCAAAATCCATCCCCCCCCCCTTACCAGTGTAGAAGCGATATCTTCTTGTCCACTCTCCAGGGCCGCCCACAGAGGGGGGTTCCCGTCTTCGTCTACAGAGTTCAGGTCCGCCCCCCTGACACACAGGGCATCCACCACCAGGGGGAGGTGTCTCTTGATGGCCAGCTGTAGGGGGGTCTCATTCTCTTGGGTCCTGAAACAACGAAGAAAAAAATATGGGTCTTTAAAACGCTTCCAGCATTCTATTCTAATCTTTGAGACACTATAGCCAACAGTGAAGCATGATTAGTCCTGATATGTTTAATTACCCCTTAGGCCACACTAATTTAATTTCTTGGTTAAAGGATTTTTCTACAAAAATAATGGAGCGGGCAGGCGAAAAAAAATTAAAAACAGGCCTAGGCATCCTTTTATGGCTTAAAATGGTACAATACGAGCCATGAAGTCAACACACCAGGCTGGTTCAAAATTTAAACAAATTGAATTTTGAACTTTTAATGATACCACTGCATTGAAAGACACTTTGCACTGCATTGAAAGACACTTTGCACTGCATTGAAAGACACTTTTAATGATACCACTGCATTGAAAGACTGTAACAACTACATGTAGGAAGAAAAGGACTGTTCTAAACTGTTCAGGGCAAAATATGAGCATTTTGCAGTTGATTCTGAATTTTTTATTTTATCTTGCAAATCAGAAAAAAATGAAAATGAAGTGGGCGAATCCGTTAACCAAGAAATTAAATTGGTGTGGCCTTAAGCTGTTAGAAAAATCAGGTGATGTATCGGGAACATTGGCAGGAAGCTAGGTCAAAGGTTCCAGAAAAAGTTATCAGTTGTCTTCAATATCCTGCTACATGCATGTCTGTTGCCTTATGGGAGCCCGTTGGATGATGCTTACTAGTAAAAGAACTTACACATGTAAATGTACATGGAGTGAGAATTATGATAACGAATAAAACTAGATATTAACGAAAACTCACAAATATTTCTTCGATAAAATGAAAACGTAAAATTGCAACCCACCTAATGGCGATATCTGCTTGGTGCTCCAACAGGAAGAGTGCACTTATGGTGTCCTGTTTCTGTACAGCGGAGTGTAACAGAGTCATCCCGTCAGACGTCCTGTAGTTGATGCTGGCTCCCGCGCCCAACAGTTTGGCGGCGACGTCGTGCATGCCCGCCCACAGCGCTAGCCCCAGGACGGTCTGCTCCTCCGAGTCCTTCAGGTTAAAGTCCGGGATGACCTGCAGGCCGCTGCTGTCGTTCAGGGCATTTGCTGGAATGGCAAGATAGACAGGAAATGAGATAACCTTTTTCTGGGACCTTTTACGTAACTTCCTGGTAGTGCACCTATCATGTAGGACGCAGAGACATACATGTAAAAAACTAGAAAGGTAACATTGGCAACGTAAATGCATAATGTTTACCTTCGCATATGGTCTGCTCTGTAAATTCTTACTCAAGTACATTCATGTGTATGACCAGACAGGAGCCTAAATATCTCCTACTATAAAATTGCAACATTATGTAACCCAACACCAGTTACCATGGTGACAGACGTCAACAAATCATACCAATGGTCAAACCGTAACCATATGCTCCTGAATGGGTCGAAATGTCTTGCCATGCACGTCACTTTCTGCAGGAAGCTACCACCTCTGCCACCTTTGCAAATCAACAACACACCACTGAATGTATCTGTATCTGTATAGCCGGTATAACCGCCTTTCGGCGTAACACACCAGCTTGTAGCGACGAGTCTTAAAGTCCTAGGTCTGCACATTCAGAATAACTTGCACTGGGACTCCCAAGTCAAGCAGATGGTAGGAAGAGCCTCAAAGACACTGTTTCTCCTTAAAAGACTTAGAAGATGCAAGCTATCCCTCAAAGACCTGACCTCAATCTACGCTGGATATATCAGACCCATACTGGAATACGCTGTCCCGGTATGGTCACCTGGCCTCACTAAAGCTCAAATAGTGAAGCTTGAATGCGTCCAGAAACGTGTCTGCAGGATCGTGCTTGGTAACGACTACACCGGTTATGCGAACGCCCTTCAGCACCTTGGACTGACATCACTGGTGGACAGAAGGGAGCAGTTGTGCCTAAAGTTTGCGCGGACGCTGATGGAGTCTACATTCAGAGACTGGCTCCCGAGGTCGAGGGGGGAAATATCTGGTCGAAACACTCGCAACAAGCAGAAACTGAACACACCTCTTTGTCGGACCAACAGACTGAAAAACTCTCCCATTCCATACCTTGTAAACCTTCTCAACAAGGGACAGTGAACTCTGAACTGTAAACAAACTTTCTGAATGTCAAATCTTCATATCTAAAGTTTACCCTGCATCTATCTTGTTATCAATCTACGCCTAACTACGAGTTTTTAGTAGGTATTTAATCTTCTAATCTTTAAGAGATGTCAATTTGTTTTATATGGAAATTAAGAATTTATTTTTAAAACAGTAAATACCCACAGCTTGTGTATTATAATATAAAACGAGCTCAATGGTGTGTAAATACCAACGCAATTCAGACTTTTGTCTGCCATGTTTGTTTGTATAATAATTTGTATTGAAATAAAAGTAAAGCTCATTGGCCAGGTCAGAGGTTAGCATTTGGAAGGGAAGAAGAGGAAGAGGAAACGTAGCAAAAACAATATTTTTTCCTTCAGTAAACATAATAATAAAACCCCCATACACTGAAGACATTCAGACAACAAAGTTAACAAACATGTCAGCTTCAAAATGTCCAAATCAACTGAGATTTGAAAAGGGGAAAGGAGTTTTTTTGTGGTGTTCCATGCATATGTTAAAGTCCAGTTTCAACATTTACCCAGAATGTATCAACTTGGCTATTTCGCGTTTTGCATTGCTAAAGCAAACCTTTTTATGGTACCTTTGTGTTCTAGGAATATGTTGACCACGTCAGCATGTTGGTTTGCTATAGCCAGGTGCAGGGGGGTGTGGTTGTACCCCTCAGACTCTCCCTGGTCCCCCTCGTCAGAGAACATCTGTGGCCTGGCGGTGTCCAGGGCTGGGAGGGTCTGTTTGTTAGGGTTGGCTCCCATGTGTAGAAGTTTCTCCACTACTCTGGATAAACCTTGCTGGGCTGCACAGTGAAGGGGAGTTTCTCCCTGTAAACACATTAACAATACTTTAACTTTACACACATAGAGTCACCCGGACACTTTGTTTCACTTGACACTGTTATGTAAGGAATTTGGACACTGAACTTCCAGAGAGGGGTGAAGGAGGCTATTTACATCAGGGCCCATCACCCTTCACTGAACTGCGACGGGGGCCGACATCGTCTACCAGATACCTTTGACCCAGTGTTGACGTCACATTTCAAAGAAGCCACGTGACAAGCCTCACTGGGTCAGTCTACTGAGGAAGACCAGAGTGACTGGTCGAAAGCTCTAGGTGAGAGAATTTTTGTGTTGGACCAAAAGTTTTAACTTTAAACAATACTTTAAGTTCAGTAATTTTTGTCAGTGCACATTGTTCAGTTTGTTAGGGTTGGCTCCCATGTATTGGGATTCACAGTGAAAGGGAGTTTCTGCTATATACACATTAGTGGGGTCGTGTGGTGCAGTCGGTAGCGCAGACCACAGACATTTAAAGCTTATTTAAAAGCATGGAGCACAGGAATTACCTCAATGCAAAACATAATTCATAACATTCAAGACAAGTCAGTTTGGTACCCACCCTGTTGTTGGTGTGGTTGGGGTTTGCCCCATAATTAGCCAGGAACAACGCTGCTTCTTCATTTCCTGCTCGAGCTGCCAGGTGCAGCAGGCTGTCACCTGAAAACAGTGTATAAATTATGCTAATGAGGTCATTAATATGCAACTAACATCCTACAAAATCTGGTGGCAAACTACAAATCTTGGAAAATGTAAGAAAAGGATTTATCGGGAAATTGGAGATTTTAGACTTATGACAAATATTTTGGGTTTCCATGATCAAGTTCATACCATTTCCTGTGTCTGACCTTTTGACCTCCTGTCATCATGTTAATCTTCCCCCACCCAAGTGCTGTCAACCTACTCTGTTTGGACAAACACACAAACATGCAAACACACACAGCTCAGCCACCCAAAACAAAACTTAATCCTATCTCGCACCTGTGTGAGGGTTGACAGCATCAGCACTGCTGCCCCCCTTGATGAGCCTCGCAGCATAGCTGGATTCCCCATACATATCCTCTGTTGATGGGCTGTTGTCAGAGAAGGGGTTGTCAGGACTAGTAGCCTGTTTGGCAGACTCCAGCGCCAGCCACAGCACCGTCTGACCTTCATTGTTCTTCAGCTCAAGGTCAAGGCTAGAAAGAAATACATGTACATGTACCTGAGATATAAAACTTCTGCTGCAGTGCCTTTGAAAGCTGTTAGGGGGCCTAAAATCAAACTTTTTTTTCTGATACCTACCCATAATATCATAGAAATGCATCCACAGCTTCTTGAGTTATAATATAATCTCGAGTTCAACAACAACGACAAAATCAATTCTCTAATGGATGCCTTTTTTCGCAAGGGATTATGGTACTGAAAGAAAATGCCTCCACCCCTGAGGCATTGCCAAAAACAAACGAAAATGACTCACTTGCTCTGCTGTAAGAGTGAGGAGAACGCCTTCTCATTTCTGGATTCCACTGCCCTGTGGAGGGGTGTGCTGAAAAGAAAGATAACATTTTGTTACTAGTATTCAAAACATAGTGCAGAGTACTTTAGCATCCTATAACATCTATTATGATACATAATTAAAGCACAAAGGTTTAGGTTCAGTTCCAGACTCGAAAGTCAGGACCTAAACCCATGGCATATATAAAACTGCATGTTGGCAACCTTGCAATGTTGTCTGGGCAAAACTGTGGCCACATAACGTGGATGCCGACACTTGACGATGCCCGATAATTCCTTAATTTTGCAGCACAGATTTTGCAATCTATGAAAGGTTTCAGGTGGTCCAATTTGGAACGAAAAGGGGGTATGTGACATGTTTTTTTTTTTTTGAGCAAGTCCGGAATTGGTTCTTGCCTTTCTTTTTTGACTATGGACTTTTTTTGGTTCTTGAGTTTTTTTTTTACTTGAACCTAACCATTCTAGGGCAAAGGCCACCGAATGGCGCATGCCCAGAGGGCCCTGTCTGAGAACCCTTTGATTGAGTGCAGCCAAACCAACTGAAAACAGCCTTTTTCTTGTTATGTGTGGATAAATGCTGGCATTTTCCAGCTGGAGAGTTATTTCTATTTCTATTAACTTGAAAAAACTGGCTGTTAGTGTTGTTTTGGCTGCTTGGTAGGTTCTAAAACTAATCCCATCTTCTTGTCTTTTGGTGGTCTTCAAGGGGGTCAGAGGTCATGCTGCCAGTGTTTGCATGTGCCGTTATATTTATCGCTGGTCAAAAAGTGAAATTTTTGGACTAAATGGACAATTTGGAAGTTGGACTACCCTGTCAATATGTGCTTGCAATAGTTGAACATTCACGTAGGTGATTGTTGACAGCTCAGTTCTTAGATGTTTTCTAAATATTCCAATAGGGGCTGGAATCAGTGGGCTGTCCCCTCTAACAAGTCCAGACCTGGTCCAGTGAACTGGTACACAGCACTACGCTCAGACCTCCCAGGCCCTACCTGCCGGTGTTGTCCTGTGCGTTGGGGTTGGCCCCGTTAGCCAGCAGCTGGTTGTTGACCCTGGCCATGCCGTCCATGGTTCCCTGTGGGGTAAAGTCAGGACTGTAGCCGGCTGTCAGGTGCAGGGGGGTCTCCTCTGACTGGGTCGTCAGGTTCACCTTCGCTCCGTGGGTAATCAGGAAATCAGCCGCAAACTCATCACCTGGAATAGAAATTGAAAGTTTATTGCAAATACATGCCCGAGGGCTAATTGCAGTTACAAACAACATAAGAAAGAAAATACAGTGGTATGTGAGACTATATTACGTCTAGCATTATACTATATTCTACAACATGCATGGTACTAGTTTTACTGGGTTTGACTTCTTCTTTTTAGGCAGTGGAAGACGAATTTACCCACTTCTTCTATAATATGTGGGTTCTTTGATTTTAGTAGTAAAATTGTTTTTTGTGGTAGGGAACGGTGGGGAAGTAAGGCAGCATTTTGGACACGGTGCCAAATAATTGTTTTCTGATGTCGTCATAAAATGGACAGTTAGAGATGAAATGAATTTCGTCTTCAACTGCATTTGAGGAGCAATATTTACAAATTCTCTCCGACACATATATAAGGAATGCCACCTGACTGTAAGTACATTAACTTTTGCAGGGACTTTAGGCCACACCAATTTAATTTGTTGGTTCTCGGATTCACCTCTAACTTCATTTGTTTCTGATTTGCAAAAAAAAAAAGATTCTGGTTCTGAATCAACTAAAAATTGCTCATATTTCACCCCCAAAAGTTTTCTTCCTAGTTGTTACAGTTTTTCCATCTATCAATGCAGTGGTTTGATTAAAAGATCAAAATTCATTGTTTGAATATCAACCCAGCCTTTTGTGTTGACTTGTGTTGACATCAGCATGTGCATTAATTTTTGCCTGAATTTGGAAAAAGAAACATCAAATTTTGTGGCCTTCTGACAGTGGTCAACATGCCGAAAATGGGCAAAGATGTCTGTTGCCATGCTGGAATGTGGATGGCAGATAACTATGAAGAGAGGAGACAGGGAAAGGCTCTGATTTTAATGTTTTGTTTCTTACTGTGAAGCAGTGATACATGTATGTGATGCTGGCTGTGTATATGATTGTGATGTTCCCAACTGAATCAAAACCATTTGTACAATGATTGAGTCAAAATTTAAAAATGTAGGAACCTTGTTTTTTTTTGGCCCGCCTTGTTTTTTTTTTTTTTTTGCCCACTCGCTTTAGATTTGGAGTCTGTGGAGGATGTCATCCATAAAATTTACTTACTGTGGCCTAACTACAGAAAAACAAGCCAATCTGACCTCTCCTGATGGCCTTGTGCAGTAGACACTGTCCAGCGGAGTCCTTGGCATCAACATTGACCTTGTGAGTGACCAGTGTCTTGGCGATACTCTCCTGTCTCTTGGACAGGGCAAGGTCAAGGGGAAGGTCACCGCTGTTGTCCACTTCATTCAGCTTACCGGGCAGCTGGGAGGGGCAGAAAACAGAGAGGACTTTTGGGCATTTCAGTGTAAGAATTAAGTCACAGAGGCTTTCGGAATATCCTGCATCAGTTGGCAGAAACAGTTACTGTAGCTGCTGACAAAAAGTAGCGGAAGCTTGCTGCCCGATGTGGCATTAGGTCTAAGGTAAGGGATCAGTTTGCTAAAAACATTCTTATGTATAATAATTATTAATTATTAATAAACAATAATTCTTATCATAATTGTTTGCTTAGTCTGTTTCTCATACAAGAACTTGACTTTGTCTAGTATTTAAATATGAAGTTGATCTGGTAGGTTGAGTTGTGGTCCCAAGACGATTCCTTGCGGAACCCTATTTCTAACTGGAGCTGAGGCATCTGGTCCAGTTACTGAGTTTAAGTTTAACAGTATATCTCACCTGTGCATCGTACTCGATCAGGTACAGGAAAACGACATCTTCTCGCTGGTTTCTGATGGCTGCATGTAGTGGATGGTCTGTCTTGGTCTTAAACATCTTGTACAGTAGGGGTGCACCCATCCCAACAAAGTCTTCACTTGTCAAGTCACTCTGAAACAAAAAACACAGAATATAAATACTGTAAACCTTGAAATTTTTGCAGTTTTTTGCAGTGGGCTATCCACTGCAAATCCATGACACCGTGAATATCTCTGTATCTGTCTCTCTCTACTGAATTGTTTCAAAAACATTGTGAAACAAGAAACTATAAGGTAAGGCCACACCAATTTAATTTCTTGGTTAACGGATTCGCCTCTTCATTTTTTTCTGATTTGCAAATAAAAATAAAAATTCAGAATCAACTTCAAAATGCTCATATTTTGCCCTGAACAGTTGAAAACAGTCCTTTTCTTACTACTTGTTACAGTCCTTCCATCTTTTAATGCAGTGCTACCATTAAAAGTTCAAAATTTATTGTTTAAATTTTGAACCAGCCTGGTGTGTTGACTTCATGGCTCCTATCGTACCATTTTGGGCCATAATAGGATGCCTAGGCCTGTTTTTATTTTTTTTTTTTTTCGCCCGCCCGCTCCATTCTTTTTCTAGAAAAATCCGTTAACCAAGAAATTAAATTGGTGTGGCCTAACATATGCAAAGAAAATGCATATTATTATTAATGTTTATCTTCACACTCTGTTAATTCTTACTCAAACAGATTCAATATACATTATAAGGTCAGACAGGAGTCTAAATCCCTCCTACTATAAAATTGCAACATGATATAACCCAACACCAGTTACGATGGCGCCAGCCGTCGGTTCCAGGTCATTGACCTTTTTGGTTTGGAGAAGGAGAGGAAGAAGAGGAAACTGAGCAAAAACAATATGTTTTCCTTAGTTAAATATAAATACACATATGTCAGTATGTTAAAGCAAATAGCACAACTTACCCAGTGATTGGAGATGATCTCGGAGCAGTACCCTTTCAGAACCTCTGCTCCAATCTCCTCCGCAGTCTGGTAAAACCGGATACAGTTCCGAACATTCACTGATGACATCAGAGCCTTCTCACATCTGTGGAAACGAGAAAATAAAGATTTCAGACTTCTGGGATATAATTTTTGAGTTTTGTGACTTTCAAGTTCACCCCATTCCCTATGTCAGATATTTGACCTGTCATTCTGTCAATCTTCCCCACCCATGTGCTGTCAACCTATTCTCAGATTCGCCCATTTCGTGTGTCTGAACTTTTGACCTCCTGTCATTCTAGCTGTCAATTTTCCCCTACCCATGTGCTGTCAACATAAACAGACACACACACAATACAAACCCACAGCTCAGCCACCTAAAACAATACTTCTGTACCCGGATGTAACAAAATGTGGTAAAAAGGATAAGGCCACAGCAAGTAAATTTTACGGATGACATCCTCTGCAGACTCCAAATCTAATGCGAGTGGGCGAAAAAAAAAAACAAGGCAGGCCGAAAAAACCAAGGTTCCTACAATTTATAGTTTTGACTCAATCATTGTACAAATGGTTTTGATTCAGTGGGAACATCACATATACACAGCCAGCATCACATATCACTGCATCAAAGTGAGATACTAAGAAATAAAACATTAAATCAGAGCCTTTTCTTGTCTCCTCTCTTCATAGTTATCTGCCCTCCACCTTCCGACACAGCAACAGACATCTTTGCCCATTTTTGCTCATTGACCACTGTCAGAAGGCAACATAATTTCTTGTTTTTTTCTCCAAAATCAGGCAAAAATTAATGCCTGTGCTGAATCGTCATCCATAGAAATTACTTGCTGTGGCCTAATTATGCAAACCTGTCTTTCAGCCCGTCCAGTTTGTACTTGCTGGCAGCACTCATGAGTTCCAGAATGACGCTATCCTGCTCAGCCAGGTCCACATTGTCTGTGTAAACCCACTTCATCATGGTCATACCTACCTCATATGGAATGCCTGGGGAAAATACAAGAAATCAAAGATCTCGTTTTAGAGTTAAAACTTTAGATGCAACACAAAGACATCTCTCATATACAGCTTTCGACTAGTCACTCTGGTCTTCCTCAGTAGACTGACCCAGTGAAGCTTGTCACGTGGCTTCTTTGAAGTGTGACGTCAACACTGGGTCAAAGGTTATCTGGTAGATGATGTCGGCCCCCGTCACGGTTCAGTGAAGGGTGAAAGAAGCCATGTGACAAGCTTCACTGGGTCAGTCTACTGAGGAAGACCAGAGTGACTGGTTGAAAGCTCTAGATGAGAGAACTTTTTGTGTTGGATCTAAAGTTTTAACTCTAAACATGTAACTACCAAATTAAATACAGATTAACTTTCATGATAAGAAAGATCTCACACATGAAAGAAGGTTAGACATCCAGGTAACTGGATAGATTTTGAAAACTGACATTTCAAGTAGCATTCACTACCAGTCACTCACACTGTCACAGACAAAAAGTTGTGGATGCTACTTGAAATGTCTGACAGTTTTCTATCTACTAAAATCTATCTACTTGCTTGAGGAACAATTTCCTTGTGTGTCAAAGATCTCATTCCTCCATAAAATAGAGTTTTTGTGAATTTCTTGTTTCATTCATTTCATAATAGTGAGCTCGTTGCAGATTCTGTCTATGCATTTTCCAACTGGCTCCCACAAGGCAACAGCCATGCATTCAGAGCTGCAGGACATTGAAGACAGGAAACGAGATAACCTTTTCTGGAACCTTTGACCTATATGTCGATAACTTCCTGTCTGTGTCCTTGAGATACCTACCACGTGCAAAATAATTAAGGTAACACAAGCAAACAAACACACAAACACACAGAAAACAAAATGCATCACACTGGATATGTGCAGTTTAACTTTAAACCACACAGAACCTACAGTACTTAGGCCACACCAATTTAATTTGTTGGTTCTCTGATCTTTTCAGGAAAAATATGAAGCGAAAGGGTTAAAAAAAAACAGGTCTAGGCGTCCTATTATAGCCCCAAATGCTACGATAGGAGCCATGAAGTCAACACAAAAGGCTGGGTTAATATTTAAACAATGAATTTTGAACTTTCAATCAAACCACTGCATTGATAGATGTAACAACTAGGAAGAAAAGGACTTTCCTCAACTGTTGGGGGGAAAGCATGAGCATATTTGAGTTGATTCAGAACCAGAATATTTTTTTTTGGCAAATCAGAAAAAAATAAAGAGGTGAATCCGAGAGCCAGCAAATCAAATTGGTGTGGCCTGATAGAAGGATAAAATGTTACCTGTGAAATCTAAAGAGTTGACCTCTGCAAGGTCGTTGACCCCCCAGGAGTTACTCCGGGTTGCCAGGACAAACTTGTGAGCCTTGACTTCTCTCCCATCCAGATGGACCACCAGGTCACTGGGGAAATAGTCAGGAGGGAAATTTGAACATTCAAGAAGTCCAAACATTATATTTTCTCAACCATAGACTTTTTCTAGGACTGCAAAGTCTTCCTAATAATATCTAATATCGGTTGCATAATGTGCTTTTGTGCACCCAAGTTCCCATAGCGCCACTCACGTCTGTATCTGTATCGGTATAGCCGGTATAACCACCCTTCAGCGTAACACACCAGCTTCACAGGCACGCGGCGCGGTGGCAGATAGCTATATCACATCAAACGACTTGTTACACTCAATCTTTGCACATTTAATTGCAGGAGTTGTTTAAAGCTTTCTAGTGATGATGCCCCAACTATGCTTGGTGGCAACGAGTTACAGTCTATGACAGTTCTTGGGAAATACGAGTTTTTGAACACCTCGATTCTTGGTTGATAACTCTGATATTTGAAGGCATGACTGTTTCTTGTTCTTTCCGTCAAAACACAAAAATGCAAATTATAGAGATATATAAATGAAATACTTGACAAACCTGCATCCACTTTCTCATTGGTGAAATTACAAATTGCCATGCTGTCATTGGTTGAACTACTAATTGTGATGGACAGTCAGGGGCAGTCTATTTAGTAATCACTCAATGGTGTCATCAGAGTACACCTGGCTGGGGACAGCTGGCCACTACAGCCAGAGGCCGTGTTTAAGTGAAGTCACCCAAAGATTCGGGTAACTCACATTCCTCACATCTGGTCCACGTGCCACACACTCCTGTGAAACCGTGTCCGAACACAATTTGCTTGAGCTACATTTATTACTGTTTGATGATAACACGCAAGGTGGCGTGTTATTAATGTCAGAGGTCAACGACCTGCTTGCTGATGCCCCCCTCCCAGCGTATCTCGGCCGAATGCCGACGTGGTCCCACCAGAGGCGGTGAAGCTCGCCCTAGAACGGACACATTATTTGACCATTACTGCTCTTTAAGTTGCTGCCACATAAAGGTTGGTATTGCATATGAATAAAGAAATATCACCCCGTAATCCATGACCAGGCGAAGTTACATTGAAATTACATTGCGTTCAGACGCAAATCGCGATGCGGGAAAACCGATTCGAAACCACCTCTAGAAGTGGCTTGGGATCGAGGCGCTTTCAATGTGATTTCGGAGCGTTCAGATGGAGCCACTTGAAACCGGCTTCGGGGTAAACCACATGTAAAGCGCCTTGGGTGACTTCACTTAAACACGGCCAGAGTTCCAGCCTTTCAGGTGATATCTATTATACATGTATGTATATATTACCACCTAATCACAAGGGATGTCATACCATACCCATGGGACAGTGTTTTGCCATATAAAATACATGTAGCAAGCTTCTGTGGGAGGATTTTAAACCTCCTTGCTCTGTGAATGCATTTAACACTTATTACAACCAATTGGTAACATATGAAACAATGTTATTGCTAGAACAAATGAAAAGGTAAATAAAGGACTCCAATTAAATACTTTATTGCATCTACGGAAGTAGTACCATGTCAAGTGACACTGTCTTAGTAATTTATGACCTCTAATATATGGAACAGTCTTTTGACCTTTGTACCACAGAGGTCCCATATATTGGGTCATGGAAACAAATATGTCTGCCCTTATCTGGTCACACACAATATAGACAACAGTTAAAGCTGGTCAACCTGAAACAATTAAGCCAAGTCAAAAGCTTTTGAGATATGTACTAAAAGCTACATTCTCATGTTATTTCTACTTCATTGTAACTTATAACACTTACATTTTCTACATAATCAAATCAGTGGCCAGTTTGTACTGTACAGTAAAACAGTACCATTTCAGTGGCATGACCTTAGTTGACCTACTTAAAATGGTATACAAACTAAAACGAAATCTAATCTGGGAAGGGTTACTCAGTAAAACAATATAAATGACTTAACATTTTTGCAAAAAACACCGAAAAACATCTCTGTTAGTCTGCAGTTAAAATTTCCCCCTCACTTCCTATGACTCTACTGTTCAAATAACAGGGCTCGAAATACTGGGCGTGTGTGCACCTTAGTGCATCCAAATTTGGAGCTGTGCACCCAATTTTTTTCCTATGGGTGCACTGGTGCACCCAAATATTTTTGTAGGTTTACGTATGTAAAGATGTTAAATGTATACTACTGTAGTAATACAGCATATTTTTGATATCTAAGTGTCAGAAAAAGAAGAAAATCCTTGTTGTAGTATTTTTCTTTATCAATGAAACATAATTACTTTTTGCTAAAATTCTATATTTTATTATGGTACACCAAAATAATTTTTTGTGCACCCAGTTTTTTTAAGTTGGGTGCACAAGTGCATCTATTCCCAGAAATAAATTTCGAGCCCTGAATAACTATGGTAATAACAGTTGTGTCACCTGTACAGTTCCTTGTCGAACAGCTCTGCGACTGTCTTCAGAAGCCGGGCGACAAAGCTGTCCTCCCCCAGGTCTCCCGAGGCTGCGGCGGCTGCGTTGTACTTCTGCTCCACCTCGGCCAGCTTGTTCTGCAGCTTGACGTACTCCTGCCGCAGCAGGCTCAGGTGCCGCTGCAGCTTCTCCACTTCAGCTGCAGGAGAACAGTTACAATGTAGGCCATAGCAAGTAAATTCTATGGATGACATCCTCCATAGATTCCAAATTAAATGCGAGCAGGCCCGAAAAAAAGTAGTAGGAACCCTGTTTTTTTTCGGCATACAATTTAAAATTTTGACTCAATCATTGTATTTGTACAAATGGTTTTGATTCAGTGGGAACATCACATATACACAGTCGGAGTAAGAAACAAAACATTGAATCAGAGTCTTTTCTTGTCTCCTCTTTTCATAGTTTTCTGCCATCCACCTTCTGGCATGGCAACAGACATATTTGCCCATTTTCGGCATGTTGACCACTGTCAGATTCAGAAGGCAACAATTTTTTTTGTTTTCTTTTTTCCAAAATCAATGACATGTAGTTTAGTCCTGGTTATGCATTCTAGTAGTGTTATAACAACAAAAAATGGGAGATTTTAGAGTTCCAGGAAGAATTTTAATTTTTTTAATTCAAGTTCACAGGCAGTGTTTGGGGAACTGTTGAGGTGATTGAATGATGTAATTCACTCAGGTATTACACCACATCCTGAAACTTGCATGCTGGGTCACATTCAGATGACCTCCCTATCAATCAACTGTCAAAATCACCTCCCGCCCATCATGAAAGAGTGAACAGTGACAAAGTGTTATCAAAATGATGACACCCACATTAATAAATTTGTATGATAAAATGATAAAATCAGTATAATTCAAATTGATGGAAACATTGAGTCTTTTGTAATGTGAGTTCTTGTGAGCTACAAAATCTTGTGCTCAAAAAAAAGTTGGACTTTCGCAAATGTATCGATTGTGGCATGTTGTCTTGATTTTTAACACAAAACGACCACATAAAAAAGTATGCTCTTTGTCATCCAGGTTTTTTTCTTAGAAAGTATGCGTATGACGAGCTTGAAGTGTGAGCTCCCTCACATTAAAATGCGTCACATGTGGCGCAATCTTAAAGAAATGACATAACGCCGGAAACACCAAAAGATTTCAACGCCCCCACAAATATATTTGATAAGGACCTAAACTGCTAAAGCCGCTCCCACCACCCCTCCAAAACCAGCAACATCAGCTGACCCCTGGGCCACAAATACGGCAATTTGGGACATTCTGGAGATTATAGAAGATAGGATATGTCTTTACTTTACTCTAGAAGTGAAAAATAATCCTCACGATGCGTAGATTTGAAAGAAACAAGCAAATTTGTCCGAAATGACAAGTACATGTGTCCTACCTTCCGCCATGATGGACCGCAAGTCTCGCGCCTTCTCGCCCCATTTACCAAACCTCGCGAGACCCGGAAACTGGACAAGATGGAGGAAGCAGATTGCGCGGAATTTTCAAGTTCAGCGAAAGAATCGTCCAAAAATAACAAGAAACCTTCGGTAAGCTTCAGTATCAACCTGCCATGTAGCATTTCAGACACTCGTTTTCCTTGCTTGCTTGAACATGCGTCCTGTTAGCCCCGTTTTTGCAAGGTAGTGGGGAATATTTGTCGACGACAGTTTAGCCGAGTCAACCTTTAATTTTCGCGGCAAATTTTTAACAACAACAATTTTTGACCGAAAGTGTGGGTATAACTTTTTGGTTTTCCGTCAGTTTTTTCTTGTGACAGTTGTGGAATTAGCTTCACATCGTTGGATATGGTATCTGGAAAGCTGCTCGTGAAATGGCACAAAATATGTGCATTGAAAATAGTTGAAATCCCAAGGGATAATTTCATATAATTTCATGTGTCCTAAAGACCAAAGTGCATTAACTGATTTAATTGTATAACTAGTGTGTAAATAACATACACATGACGTTTACAAAAGAATGGCAACTTGCAATTGTTGTTGTTTGTTTGTTGCAACAAATTGTTGTTTTTATAAGATTGCATAATCGCTGATATTTTTCACTACCATAAAAATGTTAAATATTTCAGCTCAGCAACAAAAAAGTATCAAAGCCCCATGCATAAGGGTAAACAGTAAAATTTAGATTAAAATTTTTATTTTTATTTGATTCTATTCATTAACTTGAGATTACAATGCTTTGAGACTCACGACATTTAGCCTGGTCACGATATTTCTCTTTAAATAAAATTGGTGAATGGAAGTGAGGTAGCAGCACTTTTGAATTATTTATTGGTAGAATATCTGGTGGTAACTTTATCCATGTGTTACATATGTACTGTACAGTAACATAACCGGATGTGCAGGTATTTCAAGGACATCATATTGAAGTTGATTTACCTCCTTTGATATCCTATTTCCTTAGAAAACACTCAGAAGAGTAGAAACAGAAAGACACTCCTGGTCCCGGGCCGGGGATCGAACCCAATTGCCAAACCCCGGCACCAGTTTACAACCCAACGCTCTTACTAACAATTCGGCTAAAAGGTCTAGACCCATTAGCCTGGGTGCCATCCGATTTTTTCGGGGTAGCCGTTACAAATCGGATGGCACCCAGCTATAGACCCATCGGCCAGGTCATGATCAGTTGATAGCACCAACAAACCCCCAACTGTTACACTACTCCCCCTTTTCTTTTCAAGATACATCCTCAAAATTTCCGAATTCGACGTCCCTGGAGCAGCACTCTTTGCCAGAACTCCCAGGGCCGGTGTGGGAACCACTGTAAGAAATAGGAGAGTAGAAACAGAAAGACTCTCCTGGTCCCAGGCTGGGATCGAACCCAGGCCAGACCCGGGCACCAGCTTACAACCCTGACGCTCTAACGATTTGGCTAAAAGGTCTAGACCCATCGGCCGGGTCAGTTGATAGCTCCTACAAGCTGGTCCCAGGCCGGGGATCGAACCCATGCCAAACGTTAACCCTGCACCAGCTTACAACCCAACGCTCTAATGATTCAGCTAAAAGGTCTAGACCTGTCGGCCGGGTCAGTTGGTAGCGCCTATAATGTAGTGTAAACCCCCCCACTGTTACATTAAAAAAAACATAATAATGCATGACAATGACATATTAAGAAATTTCTGTAAGTGATTGTGCCTGTTAGATGTCGATTGCATCAATTATTAAGTAACAGTCAAATTTTTCCTGCGTGTAAATCGTAAAGGTACATAAAGCTAGAGGGCCATGAATACATTAGTTATTTTAACTGTATTGCAAAACTCATCATTGACATTGTAACAGTTGATTGTTTGTTTCAGTTTGTCAAAGCTTTGGCAAAATACAGACTAATGGGTACACTTATTACTATAAATCTTTGTATGTTTTGTGGTGAACTCTCAAAATTGCGAATTCTTGATACGGTACCACAAATACAGATACTTGCACTACTCCGGTGCAGGTATGCAGAAAAATTATAGGATTTTGAGCCCTGTGTTATCAAGATTGATGATATTTCAGGATGCAGCTTTGTCTTCAATTCTGGTTCCTGTTTTAACGGTACTGTTTGTTTGTTTGTTGGTAAACATGTCCATGTCGGCATTATATATAATGTATACCGGATCCAGAGTTATTAAAAAAACAATGCTTGTGTTTACAGAGGGACTGGGGTATGATCATTTCACATAAGCCAAATTAGTGCTAGAAGCTCAAGCATTAGGTGTTTCGTATATATAGAATACAACACGGGGTATTACGTATCGCCCGAGGTATCAGCTCGGCGGCGGGAGGGCTGGGACCAAGGGTGATGCAGATTACACCGTGTTGTATTTTATATATGTCATACCCACCCAAGAAAACGTGTACTCTCACCTCTCGAATAAAAGTACCCCCTGGAATAGAAGTACCCCCCCGACAAATCTTCAAAATCTAATAAAAGTACCCCCTGGAATAAAAGTACCCCCCGGAAAATTTAAAAATTGACATGTAAGCAACGTCTATGCTCCAAAAATGTGTTCTCATGGTGTATATATATATGTGTGCGTCTGTATGACCTTGTCACTTGCAATTATTGACAGGTCCTGAATAAACATACCCCCTTGAATATGATTCCCCCAACAAATCTTCAAAACTTTATAAATATCAGGGATCTCCCCAGAAATTCAGAACAGGGTGGAGGAGGGTGGTCTGGAAACCCCCCCTCCATGGGGGGAAGCTATTGCATTTTGTCTTTCCCAAACACAAATGGAGGTCATTTCCTGCAACTTCAGTTCTACATTTTCTGTACAATTGCAGATGTATAAGGCAGGAGAAAGGTTCAAGATTTAAAAAAAAAGTTCTATTAGCACCCTTAATTTTGAAAAAATTGGGGCATAGGTTCCCCGGATGACCCCTAACCGGGGGCCAACGGTGCTTCCACAAGTTCAACAAGTGAAAAATACATGATACAAAAT